AGCGTGGTTAAGTGGTTTCACGAAAAAGCCAATAAATATGAAGTGCAATTATGAAATCAAATTACGATTGAGGTTATCCGGTCACAACGGAAAAGTTAGTTTTGAAAACGTCTGAATCTACAAGAATATACGTAAATATGGCACAACAAGCTAAAATAGAAGACATCATGATACCTATTTTTGATGGGGCAAACTATTCGAGTTGGAAATTAAGGTTGGTTACTTTGTTGGAATACAAAGAATGCAACGAGGCCGCCATAGGCATAATGCCGGTGAAATATAAAAATACAGAAGCGGAATGGAAGAAGATGGATTTAAAGGCAAGGACTATTATTATGAGTACTATTTCGGACAAACAATTAGAATATATCACTGAGTGCAAGACAGCTTTTGACATGTTACAAAAGTTCGACAAAATGTATCTTACTCAATCAACATCTCTTCAAATTATATGTCGAGGAAAAGTGGAAGCGATCAAATTAAATAATTACGACACAGTAGAGGATTTCTTCGTTGATTTTGAAAAATCCATAAACGAATTCAAAACAGCCGGAGGTAAAATTGATGAACCTGAAAAGTTAAGATACCTGCTCAGAGCCCTACCACCAAGTTATAGTTATATAGGAGATTTTCTGGACGTGATTCCTGAAGAACAAAGGACTGTGGACTATGTACATTCAAAAATAAAGGAGAAAAATATGACTATGTGCGATGACAAGAAAAATAATGTGAGTACATATACAACCAGCACCACAAGAGCTCAATGTTTTGTCTGTGGTAAGACTGGTCATCTCAAGAAGGATTGTTGGCACGCTCAGAGAAATAATCAAGGACAAAAAAGTTCTCAAGGAAGTTTCCAGTCGTCTAGTCGGGGTCAGCGAGGACATCAGAGAGGATCCTACAGAGGTCGCAGCCGAGGCAGAGGTCAAGGCCACTCATCTAGCAATCATCCTAAAGGTGAATCTTCGAGCAACGGTCCCTCCCAGTCATGGACAGCTGAAGTATGTAAACCAGAAGTAAACCAGGTATCCGGATGTAATGAAAAGGTAACATTTAATAATAATAGTAATGTAGTTAATTGGCTTTTAGATAGTGGGTGCACTGACCATCTTATAAATGATTATTCATATTTTTATGACAGTGTAGATTTGAAAGATTTTGTTGATGTAAAATTACCAGATGGAAAAACCTTGAAAGCAACCAAAGTAGGTACTGTAAAAATGTATTTCAAAACTATTATAGTGTGAAGTATGTAGATTTAGAAAATGTCTATTATGTCGAAGGAATAAAACAAAATTTATTAAGTTTTTCAAAGGTAACTAATAGTTGTACAATAGTAGCTAAAAATGAAAGTGCTAAAATTATAATGAGTCTAGAGAGTTGATAGTTGTTGCTGATAAAATTAATAATTTGTATTGCTTAAAAGGTTATGTCTTAAAAAATGAAGTTTGCACAAATTCTGTATAGTTAACGCAGAAAGAAAAATGGCATAGGGCACTTGGTCATGTGAATTTTCAATACTTAAATAAGATAATAAATAATAAATTAGTTGATGGTTTGCCAGATAAAATTGAAAGCACAGAAATGAAATGTTCAAATTGTATTCAGAGTAAAATGACTAATGTACCTTTTGAAAATAATAGAACAAAAACTACTGAGATTTTAGAACTTATTCATACTGATTTGAATGGGCCACATAACACAACTGGTTATGGTGGAGAAAAATATTTTTTAACCTTTATTGATGATTATAGTAAGTGTACCAGGATATTTTGTATTAAAAGTAAAGCTGAAACTGCAAAGTGTTTTATAGAGTTTATAAATTTAGTAGAAAATAAATTTAATAAAAGAGTCAAGAAGATTCAGTGTGACAATGGTAGAGAGTATTTAAATAAGGATATTTATAATTTTATAAGGTATAAGGGCATAGAGTTGTTACCATGTCCACCTTATGTTCATGAGTTAAACGGAGTAGCGGAGAGGTATAATAGGTCTGCTATGGATATAGGTAGATGTTTAATGAGAGAAGCTAAAATACATAGGAGGTACTGGCCTGAAGTAATAAAAACAGCAGCTTATTTAAAGAATCGTACTATTGCAAATACAGTTGAAAATAAAACTCCTTATGAGATATTTTTTGGGGTCAAACCAAATGTAGAGCATTTAAAAATTTATGGAAGTAGAGTCTATGTTAGAGTTCCTGAAGTGTTAAGAAAAAGTAAATGGGATGATAAAGCTCAACTAGGAATTTTAGTGGGTTATAATGAAAATAGTTACAGAGTTTTGTTAAATAACAGAATAATTAATGCAAGGCATGTACAGGTAATTGAAGAAAATACTCAGTTAATTTGTTTGGAAAAAGTAGACAATCAAAATAATAAAGATTTGGAAAGTGATAATACTTTAGATGTTTCAAATGAAGAGGTTAAAAATGAATATGAAACCGATGAAAACTTTGTAGATGCAGATGAGACTTATTCTAGTAGTAACGTAAATAATAATAGAGAAAATGACGTTTTAGTAGAATCACAGAAAAGAAAGAGAATCCCAGTTTCTAGATATGGTAATCCAGTTACACACTTTATTTATGTTAACCATATTGATGCAAATGTACCAAATTCATTCGAGGAGGCGATGAACTCCAATGATAGTAAGCAATGGCAAATAGCCATGGATTCTGAAATAAATAGTTTAAATAAAAATAATACTTGGCAAATTGTAGAAAAACCAAAAGATAAAAAGGTAATTGATGTTAAATGGGTTTTTAAAAAGAAAAGTAATAATGAATATAAAGCTAGATTGGTTGTGAGAGGGTTTCAGCAAAAAGATTTTAATGAAAATGCTTACTCACCTGTTGGAAAAATGCAAACTTTGAAAATTTTATTGTCATACAGTTGTAAAAATAAATTATTTGTAGAGCAAATGGATGTTGAAACAGCCTTTTTAAATGGTTATGTAAAGTCAGAAGTTTATGTAAATCAACCAGAAGGTTATAAAACAGGAGATAATAAAGTTTACAAATTGCAAAAAGCTCTCTATGGTCTCAAAGAAAGTCCTAGAGTGTGGTATGATTGTTTTGATATATTTATAAAAACTTTGAATTTTGTTAGAAGTAGTTATGATTACTGTTTGTATGTTAAAAAAGCAAGCAAAGATCCAATATACATATTAATATTTGTTGATGATCTTTTAATATGTTGTAAAGATAAAAATAAAATAAAAGAGGTGAAAACAAGTTTAATGAAACGATTTGCAATGAAAGACTTGGGGAAAATTAAAAGCTATATTGGCATAGATATTGAGTATAATGATGATAAAAATGTGATGACATTAAGTCAAACAAAGTATATTGAATCTTTGGCTGCAAAGTATAATTTGGTAAATACTAAGTTATATGATACTCCTATGGAAACAAATTTAAAATTAGAGCAAGCTAGTGAGGTCGATGAAAGTATTAAGTACAGAAATATAATAGGTGAATTATTGTATATTAGTACAGGCACAAGACCAGATGTAGCGTACAGCGTTAATTATTTGAGTAGATATCAAAGTTGTTATAACCGAACACATTACAAATATGCAATGAGGGTGTTAAAATATTTGTATAAAACTAAGAATCTAAAGTTAACATATTATGATAATGCAGATGCTGATATTTTAGACTGTATGGTTGATTCAGACTATGCAGGGGATAATGTGGATAGGAAGTCTACAACAGGTTTTATTATAAGATTTTTTGGAAATTTAATATTTTGGAAAACACGTAAACAAAATACAGTAACTAAATGTTCAACTTTTGCAGAGTATATTGCATTGTCAGAGGCAGTAACTGAAGTACTTTTTATAAGAAATTTGTTAAGTGAGTCATTTGATATAAACTTTTGTTATCCAATAAAATTGTATGAAGATAACTCAGGTGCAATTGCAATAGCTAAGTATGGTAACTTTACTAAAAATTCAAAGCACATTGAAGTGCAATATCATTATATAAACGAGAATTATGAAAACAAACTTATTGATATAATTAAAATTGATACAAAATGTAACTTAGCAGATATGTTGACTAAGAGTCTAGATAAATCAAAATTTTTGAAAAACAGGTTTGAATTAAGATTAATTTAGTTAAGAGTTCAGATTATTACTTTAAAGTACTGTTTAAGTAAAATATTAAAACTGTAATAACTTTAAAATACTGTTCATGTAAGATAAAATGTTAAGATTATAAATTTAAGGAGGTGTGTTGTAATAAGGTAAATATTATAATCTTAAGTTAAATAATATAAGTAGCGCCATCTAGTGTTAAGTTGGCAAGTTTCTCATAGACGTCGATATATTATCTGTATTCTTTCCTTTTGTCGTCTGCATGGCGCCCATCATGTGCTTTCTGTGAGATTTTTAATAAAACTACGAAATATAACAAGCTATTATCTATTATTCAACCACATCCACCACTTCAACAATTTCTGTTATGAGTCCTATGTAAAGGGGGTAAGCCTATTGCCATATACCACGCATAATTCCAGACTCCGTGCTACTAGCGAGAAGTTTTGAAAACCCCAATAATACTTTGCCCGACCCGGAAACTGAACCCGAGATTCCTTGCCCGGCAGTCGCATTTGCGACTACTAGGCCAACGAGGCAGTTCTACAGTTTTTAGTGACAATTAATTGAAATAAAATGCCTTCCGATTTAAATTACTTATAGAATGATCTTATTTTTAGTACAATAAGAATCAAGGTTTAAGGAAGACTAAATTAATGTTTAAACTATTTAATACAGTTACGAATTTGACTTAGCAGCCTCAAAAGCTGTGGTTCAGACGTTTTATTTGCTGAAAAAGAAACCTTTTTTACCCTGGCACGTAGTTTGTTTACGTTGGCCCGTGCGAATATAAAAATAAAATATACGTCACTTACTTCAGTTTGTCATTTTGGAGAAGTACAATTGGAAAATTTTAAATGCAAGCAAATTATTTTTAGGTTTAGTGGACGTCTCTGAGAATGGACGATAATGATACTGCGAACCTCGATGTAGAGTTTAAGCGGTACTTACAACTGTTAAGACCTTACCTGGGTCAGCTCGTTGATCAAAATATTATTAAAATCTGTGACGCTTGGATACAGAGACTCTCGGATTGTAAGGAAAACGAGAAAGCCCTGAGGAATAAATATGTATTTGTCCTTTGTTATCAACTTGCTAGAGGCGTATTAGATTTGCCATTCTTAAATCAACCCCCTGATGAACTTCAGCCTTTGTCCGACGACCTCCATAGCGAGGAATCTTCAACTGAAGTGGAATATCTTGTCATTAACTCTGAAGAGCCTCGTACAAAAGTAATATTTAATAATAAAAAACAGAGTAGCTCCGAAACAGATTGTTTTTCACAAGAATTCGATAAAGCCACTGAAAGTTTGACGAGTACTGAATTACCTCTACCAGTAATAAAAGGAAAATATTCATCGTCTACTGGTAAAAATTTGTTTTGTTATACGTGTCCAGAAGTGGTACATCACATGACTGACCATGGGGAGGAATATGAATATAGAGCTAACAACCTCGTTAAAAAGCTACGGGAGATAAAAATGCAGAATATGTTGCTTCAAAAGGAACTTGTAGCTTTAAAAGATGAATCTAAAAATCTCAAGCAAGATGAATCGATTTACGAGTGTGTTGCAAAGGTTGATAATGCCACAAGCGCGTTTATACGAAGTAACGATAGCAATGTCACATTAAAATCTTTAAAATGTCAACTTCAAGAAGTACAAGATTCTAGAAATACCTTGATACAGACTATAAACTCCCTTCAAGATGAATTGGATCATGTGAACGAGATGAGGAAAAATGAACAAGATGACCTTGAAGCAAAACATAAACTGGAGTTAATAAAAGTGCGCACAGCAGCTAGAGACGAAACTAAAGTGTTTTTTGAGAAAAAAATTGAAGAACTGCGACTGACTTATGACGAAACTATTAACAAAATACAAGATTCAGCTTCACATAAAGTTAAGGATATGAATAAAATTAAAGATGATGTAATTGAAGAGAAAGACAAACTATTAGAGGCTAAAGATGCGGAAATACGTCGTTTAAGGACTCAACTTGAAGATCAAAAGAATAATTTACACACGATGCTTAATAAGTTCATGGAACGATCTAACGACGAAGGGTCGTGCGACGCTATGAAGCTCAGAACTCAACAACTAGAAATACGTCTGGGCAAATTGGAAAAAGCAAAGGCCAAATGTGCAAAAATATATGAAACCAAATTGGCACAATTACAAAGAGAGAAACACTTGGCGGAGTGTTCACTACAACTGCAATTAGTGAGACAAAGAGCTCAGGTTGTTAATGAAATGACCGATGAAAACCAGGCGGAACTGAGCACGTCTCTAGACAAGCTAGAAACTAAATATAAAGATATAGTGGCAAACGTGCAGGCTACTGCCATACAAAGACGAATGCAAGACCAACTAGCTCTGGAGTCGATATTTCAAGCAGCTTGCGGTATACATGAACAGAATCAAATGCCTTTCTCCAAACCAGCACGCAATCAAAACCAAAGCTACGACAGTGAAATCTCAAGCTTATTGCGCGGTAATAAAGTCGGAACTGTAATCGTGGGTGGTGGTAATAAATCTTTCGGAGAAGACAGTTTGACGGGTGGTTTCTGTCTCAATGGGGAAAGAATGGGAGAACTATTCGAAAGGGTGTACATACCTCAGAGGGACAATGGGGAGGCGAAGTGAAACTATTTGGACAGTGCCTCGTTATTGCAATTAAAACTAAATGTCTGTGGTGTACTTATTAAATTTTCAGTTTGAAGTATTTTGGTTGCTCAAGTTACTTATTATTTCGGTTTTGTAAAATACTTCTTGTGAATTACAGCATTTCTAAATAAATGATAATGAAAATTGACAACTTTTTTGCTTAAATGGACAAAATCCAAATTGAAGAGCGAAGAACAAAGCTATGGATAAGACCTAGTATATTATTGCTTAATTTACAAACTATCCCACGATCTTACAAGCTAATAAACAATTACAAAGCCATATGAATACAACCTGCGTCAGTAATACATTGTAAATCTCTAGAGATTGCGTCAATTTCCTTACCGGGGTCGTGGCTTCGTGGGCTGCGGCCATATTCATATAATGTGGTACATATTATTAATTAATTACTCATGTATATTTATGTTACATCTGCCTTGCTAATACTGCGGTTTTGTGCCTGTGGAGCTCTGTGGTTTGGTCCACGTTTTGGATACTAAATGTGTGTAGAGTTTGGTTATTGGTTGTGGTATACTATGAACTGTATGTACCTACTGATGGTTTTCAAGGTTGTCAGTATCCTACATTTTATGCTAGTTATGGTGTGTCGCTTGCTAAGGGAGGATTTGCATTTAATACGTCACTGTGTAGTGTGTAGTCATCACAATAACAAATTTATTCTGTCGGTATAGAGGTCATTTCACTGACTATTTTGGAACTAAAATACATAAGAAGCTTATAACGAATAGATTTATTGTATCGTAAAAAGTAGCTAATTTATAGAGGAGTTCCGTAGTTCCAGGATATTAGTCGACTAATCTACTGAGTCAACAGGGGCCTCGTTTGCAGCACTCAAATAATCTTATGCAGAATAGTTCTCATTTATGTATAAGGCGTAGGGTTGAACGAATGTATTACTATATTTATATTACTATGTATATATTTTAAAAGAGTTTTGTGTTGGAGAGTCATGCTTAGATGCACTTAAGTTATACGGCCTCTCAAAAAATCGGCGTGATATAATGCGGGCGTTGTGTATCATCGCGTGAATGAGGTTACTGTAACTTCCCAAAAAACCCCAATAATATTTTTTATATTTTATAGATTAATGGTCCTGATGATACATTAATAAATTCCTACTAATATTATAAATCGGAAAGTGAGTTTGTTGGTTGTTCCGATTTCACGCCGTAACTAATAAACCGATTGTTAGAAGTTGAGTGAAGTGAAGTTAGAAGTCTGGATTAAATAATAGGGTACTTTTTATCCCGGAGAAATTGATATTCCCGAGGGAAAACAAAGTATTGGTATAGATGGCGCTGTATGTATTGGTATATGTCACATAGGCTACTTTTTATTCTTTTGTGACGCGAGCGAAGCCCGGGGTAAAAAGTTAGTATAACATAATGTGTGTTTTTTCTTCTTTTGCCAGTGACAGCCCTGCAGTAAACACAATAGTGTTCGGCCGCCGTCAGCGTGTTTACCTTGAGGATTCTAGGTCTTCATGGTGTTCCACTGCTGCCGGCGTACCTCAGGGTGGCGTTTTATCTCCTCTTCTCTTCACATTATTCATTAATTCTATTTCTCAAGGTCTATCTTCTTCCTACCACCTTTACGCAGATGATCTTCAGATCTACACCCAGGCCTCTCTTGAAGATTTACCAGGCGCCATTACATTAATTAACAACGATATGGCACGAATAGGTGATTGGAGTTCCAAATTTGGTTTGCTGGTAAATCCATCAAAAACGCAGGTGACTATCATCGGTAGTGCGCGTATCGTCTCCAAAATGAATTGGACAATTCTTCCCCAAGTTTCTTTTCTAAATACGAAAATTCCTTTCTCCCGCGATGTTAAGAACCTGGGGATTTACATCGACAGTAACCTCTCCTGGAATAAACAATTGCAGGTGGTCAGTCGAAAGTTGTTTGCTTCAGCGGGCTCCTTAAGGCGTCTTCGTAATTTCTTACCCACTAAAACCAAAATTGCACTTGCACAGTCTCTTCTTCTACCAATACTCGACTATGCTGATGTCAGCTATCTAGATCTCACCCAAGAACAATTGGATAAGCTTGAGCGCCTTCAAAACCTTTCTATCAGATTTATATTTGGTTTGCGCAAGTATGATCATGTTTCTGAATTTCGTAGTAAGCTCAAATGGCTGCCTATCCGCCTTCGCCGGAACGCTCATATCCTTTCGTTACTATTTAATGTACTTTTTAATCCTGCTGCCCCTTTCTATTTAAAGGAACGTTTTCAGTTCCTGGGTGTCACACATTCGAAGTTCCTGAGATCATCGGAAAATCTTAAGCTCAGCATTTGTAAGCACTCCACTTGCTTTTATGACAAGTCCTTCACAATTCAAGCGGCTCGGTTGTGGAATGTGCTGCCGGTGGAAGTGCGACGTGCTCAAACTCTGGGTCAGTTTAAAGGACGTGTGAAGGAACACTACCTGTCACTGTAGTTATGCTTTTGTCCTTTCATTATGGATAAACACATCACATATACACACACACACACCACACACACACACACACACACACACATACACGCAACTATATATAGTTATCATTTTACATTTAAGTATATATTTATTAAATAGTATTGCCATTTTTATCTTTTATGTATTATATGTAGTCTGTAAGTTTCATTGATTGTTTAATTTGTTTTTTTTTTATTGCTTTCCTTCTATTTTGATTTATTTTTATTGTGCATCTACCACCCATTCCCAGATTCTTTTCTAAAATTCCATCCAAAGGTTGTCTGGAAGAAATCGCCGCGTGTGATAAGACCGCCCATTGTACTTTAATTACTGTTGCAATGTTTACAATTTTTTTTTTTCTGTGTGTGCAATAAAGTATATATAAATAAATAAATAAATAAATAGTGGCAACACTAGAAAACGTAGCGCATTGTTCGCTAATGCCTAATCTAAGCGTTGCTAAGTTTAGTTAGTTAATTACAAATGTATATTAATACTTATATCAAAGTCATATACTAATAAAAAAGATTTTTGTAGGTACTATTACAATATACAGTTTGGATTGATATCAGTATTCTCTAAGTGGCAATAGAGTCAACCCCTGTTTAAACTTTTAACATTAGGTTGAAATCTGTGTAACCTAATTATGATTTTTGCACTCCTAATTACATACTTCCAACCATTTCAGAAGGGATTAAACACTGATACATGTTGTAGGGAGTAAAAATTATATTGTAACGTTTACGATCTGTCTTACGAAATCTTTATAGAATTGTGATGAATATAAACGTTGCTATTATTTTTATTCAGGCGTTATATATTATGAATTTGTAGTCTCGTTTTTCACATATTGGATTTAGCTGAGCATTTTTACAAAATAAAGTTAAAAATAATAGATATCTAAAAAATAATAATATGGTGAGTCATACTAAATTTACTAAAATGCGCGGGTTACTCACCGACCGGTACACAATGGAAGAATGTTCTGTGGTTCGAAACAAGTAGACCATTTCTCAGTATTTCCACATGAGTAACCCGCTATTTTTAGTTAATTGACAAAAAAATTAGAAGATATCTTTCACTGTATTACTTAAGTATGGTATGTTTTAGTGCAAACAAAATGCAAGACGCAACATAACAATAGGTGCAAACAATTAATAAAATTATTATCAAACCAATAACGTAAACAAATTATCTATGTTTACTGTTAGTAAGATTTTCTGGATTTTTTTAAACATTCAATAAGGTTACGATGTGTTGGTAATAGTTGCGTATGTGTAAAATTCATATTTACCTACTTGAATTGACTTGTTATCTATTACATCTTGGCCTGTTTTCACAAACATAACATACATAACTCACGCCTTTTATCCCCGAAGGGGTAGGCAGAGGTGCACATTATGCCACTGTACAATGTAACACCCACTTTTCACTATTTATGTTATGAGTCCCATGTAATAGGGGGTGAGCCTATTGCCATATACCGGGCACAATTCCAGACTCCGTGCTACTATTAAGATTTTTTTAAAAACCCAATAATACTTTGCCCGACCAGGGAATCGAACCCGACACCCCTTGCCCGGCAGTCGCACTTGCGACCACTCGACCTACACCAACGAGGCAGTCTGTTTTCACCAACCTCTTATAGTCTTATTGTCACCAACCAAAAAAAAGGTGACACCTTTTTTGAGGGTTGAATATCATCTAATGATTTCTCCCGCCTTGGATTAGGCTAGAGGGAGTGTCAGAATCTTACTGACTAAAAACCACCTCGTTCGTACTCCTGTTCTTCCAGTCGGAGCTCCGGCAACCCGTTACGCCTTCCACGGCTCCGTATTATGTGAAACCTAACAGTATAATTAGGCTAAGTGATTTTTAGTTAAGTGATAGTTTAGAGGTGATTGGTTAAAATACATAAGTGTGTATTGGGAAAATTTGAGGTATACCTACGTACTCGAAAATAAAATACCCCGTGAAAAGTGAGTGGTAAAAATATGTAGCTACGCTGTCTACTTATCCCTCCGAGGAATAAAAGACGTCATGTTATGTTGTGAGTCACGACAATTCAAACAATTCAAAGTGTAAAAAGTGTATTAATGGAGTCATAACTTATGAATTTTTTACAGTTTTTTTGTATAATAACAAAATTAATGTCTCATTGTTTGTGAATACTGTATTAGCTTCCACAAAATACCATCACATAGTTAGAATATTTCATTTTGTTATGCCATAACATACAGTAAAACAATTGCATAATAGAAAAATCTATTCTAGAATGTTCAACAAACAAATAAGTATTGCAATGAGTTATTATAGTTTAGAGAGTATGTGTAAATGTTCATAGATCAATTAACATTCTTACAATTTTTTTGAAGTTGGCAAACTGATGCTTACTTATTAACTATGTACTAAAGTAGTTTAGACTAGACTGCCTCGATGGCCAAGTGGTCGCAAGTGGGACTGGCAGGCAAGGAGTCTCGAGTTCGATTCCCGGGT